GAGTTCGCCGGGCAGCCCTGGGGCGAGCAAACGTTGAAGCCAGTAGCCGGGCAGCCCTGGGGCGGGCGGGTGCCACGCGGCCTCCAAAAGCCGCCTGCACGGCCTGCGGAGCTGGGCTTGCTTATAGCACAAGGGCCCTGGTCCTGTGTTTGTTCAGATCCACATGGGTCCCAGGAACACTGAATCCAGAGATGTTTTAATTGCAACGTGACCGTGTCATGACACAGCTTTAACAAAATGCTATCTTGAATTCTTTTAGGTTCAAGAGCTGCTAGAAAAGGCATCAGACTCCAGAGTAAGTACGTCGTTTCCTATATGTTCTCTTTCACGGTATAGCTGTGTCCTGAGCGGTATTCAGCAAAAGTCCTGTCTTTTCTTAGAGACCTGGTAATGCATCTACTTTGGAAAAAAAAAAATTTTTTTCTCCAGATAAATGGTGGGGATCAGTCCTAGCCTTTTTGCCTGTTCTCCCTTCCCCCTCCTTGCCTTGTTTGCTCCAGCGGATCCTGTAGACATGTGTGCCTTAGTCATAGAGCATCTGTCTGAACAGAACTTTGCCTCTTGTGCTTTCTGTGTAGGAGATGCACGATCCTCATTTGAAGTAATGGTAATGTCTCAATTTGGGGCAGGGAAAAAGAGTCGTTTTATGATTCTTCAATTACAAAAGAGCTTTGCCTTCCCCATCCACCTTGTAATGTTCTACCGCCACAGTCCTGTCCCTCCTCAGGCTGTGAAGCAATCTCAGTAGACACCACAAGCACTGCCTGAGCTGTGTCTTTCAGGGTAAACAAAAGGAGAAGATTGGGTGTCTGGAATTCTGTTTGTAGGCAAACTAAGATCCAAGTACTACTTGGGGGAAGAGGGAATTATCATTCAGACCTGATTAACTGTTCCTTTCTTTTTTCAGATACTGTCGTCTTGTCCAGAGATTAAGTGGCATTTTATCGGCCATCTGCAGAAAAACAATGTCAACAAGTTGATCGGTAAACTCTGTTTAACTTTACTGCAGTGACCTGCGGGCAATAGTCTTGCAATGTACACACAAATAATAACCTGGTTCATCCGTTTATATTGCTGATTACAAGCCAGCAAGAAATCTGATTAGCAAATGGAAGAGTGTGATACTGCCCCATTTATCGGTTCTAGTTCAGTCTGTTTGTTTTCTCTTGCCGTAGTCTGCTGCTAGCTGTGCATGATCGCAAATATATGCGTGCTTGTGTTGCTCAGGCAGCATGGAGCCTCTGGTTCAGAGGGGCTGGTTGTCCTTTGCAGTTTTCACAGCGTAAGCTGCTCCTGCGTTTGCTCATTTTACTCATTTTCCCTGAATTGCTGGACGAGGTTTGGTCCATTGAATCATGCTGTGCTTTTGCTTTGTAATTACCTTGTTCCAGAAGGTTTTGGTCTTCCTGTGGTATGTGGCACTAGAGAACTGACACCTCACAGTGCGGTGACCTGTTCTCCTCTCTCGCTCATGCACTTCTGTATGTGAACATGAATGTCGCTCTCCACTCATGCAGGTCGCTAGGTTATTGGGAAGCTATACAAAATTTCTCAGGTAGTTGCTATATTGTTTTACATTCCTAACAAAGATGCTAATCTGCAGATTTTCCTTGTCTCTCCCCAAAAGGTTGTGTGCACAGAGTCATTCTGAAGGGGTTTATTAACCAAATGTTATGTTTGGGGAAACAAACCCTGTTGAAGTAACTTAGCTGCAGGGTCAAGAGCAGGCAGAAGACTTTGGCAGTTAACTCACCAATGTCTGTCTCTGAGCGGGCTGACACAGTGATTTCTGTGCCAGCAGAATTGCCCTCACTTTGTCTTTTCTCCCTAGCGGTCCCTAACCTGTTCATGTTGGAAACAGTGGATTCTGTGAAACTGGCAGACAGAGTCAACAGCTCGTGGCAGAAGAAAGGATTAACTCAGAAACTAAAAGTCATGGTGCAAGTTAACACTAGCGGAGAAGACAGTAAGTGCCTGGACACTTTTTATGGTGATGTGCAGGTTGTCCTGCTAACTTGATAGGAGAAACAACCTGCATGGGATGGGTTGGTTTGCACTCTTTGTAAGAACTCTTTTAAGCTAGAGGGAAACTCAGGTTGCTCTCAAGAGTAAGGGGAGGAATGCTTCAAAATTGGGTAGAACCACCAATACAGAGAAATGAAGGGAAAAGTAAACATTGTAGTATTTGCAGTCATCGCTTTATTCATTTTGTTTTATATTTGGCCTCAGTCACACTGCAAACAAAAGGTTTCAGTAGCCACGAAGCATGTGAGGCTGGAGGGCACCTGTAGTAGGAAGGTTTTTTATGCTGTTTTAGCAAACCTAAGATATGAAGGCGGTCTTATATTTAAAAGCATAGAGTGCAAAAGAAAGGGGAAAGCTGAATAAATGAAGATTGTCTGTTTACTTCAGGGTTGTTTGTTTGTCTTTTAGCCTCTGTGTTTCTAAACACAGCTTGTGGTTGGTGGACTGGTCTCCTCACAAGGCAGTGCTGTGGTCAGAGCTGTCAGTGCTGAGCATCATAGCAGGACTCTAACAGTGTCAGCTCTTCTGTTGAATAACTAGTTGTGCGTTGGGGCAATTACAGCCTGCTGGGGGCGCTTTTGCTTGATGCCCCTTCCAAGGGACCCCAGACTGGCTCAGTGTTCTTTTTTGCCCATGTGAAGAAAGGTTTTGATGAAAAGGCTAACAAGAGAAATCCAATCTGATCACCTTCTGCCTGGCTGCGGGGAGGGGAGTTCTCTGGCAGAGCTTGGCGTGTACCACCCCCCTTTTTTTGCCAGGTAAGCATGGCCTACCTCCTGGAGACACCGTAACAGCTGTGGAGCATGTCATCAACAAGTGTCCAAGCCTGGAATTTGTGGGGCTGATGACAATTGGCAGCATTGGGCATGACCTTAGTAAGGGGCCAAATCCTGACTTCCAGGTAAGAATTTCTAGAAGAAAGCTATGTACACAGGGTGCATCAGGCAGAATAATTGGGTCTGTGTTCTTTGTCTGTCATGCTGGTGTGATAGTCAGATGCGTTCAGAAGATGTGTAGACTTGTAAGTATATGTATTGTCAATAATGTAGACTGTACTGGGAAACCTCCAGGCATTCTCACAGTGCTGTAGAGCAAACATCAGCAGGATTTGCAGGAAGTGTGGGGATTTCCTTCTCTGTGTAAAGAAGACTTCAAAGAAAGGCAGAAATCGTGGTCTGTGAAACCTTGATAATGAATTGCTGTGGTTGTCGTAGAATGTGCAATCCTCTCTTCTTTGCTCCCTTCTTCTAGATGCTGCTGTCTTTGCGGCAAGAAGTGTGTGAAAAGCTGAACCTCCCCATTGAGAAGGTGGAGCTGAGTATGGGCATGTCCACAGACTTCCAGCATGCAGTAAGTCTGGTTTTCCTCTGCCACCCTTTCTCTCAGGAGCCAAATTGCCATCACCAGCAGCAGGCACCCAAAAGTGCAGCCCAGGCATCATCTGGACAGGCCTTGTAGGCCTCCCTTTGGATGGAGATCCTGATGGTGCTGTTCTGTGAAAAACAGCTCTCCTGGCCCTGAGATACAGTTCTGGGGATCAAAATAGGCCCTTGTTGTAGCTGCAGTTGGCAAATACATGGGCAACTGTCCCTCTGTGACGTGGCGAGCATTTAGATTTTTTTGGGGGCAATGTTGGCAGGTGGGTGGTAGCCACATATTGAACTCTGTCTTTCTGTCTGCTCTTCGTAGATAGAGGTTGGATCCACAAACGTCAGGATTGGAAGCACAATTTTTGGAGAGCGGGATTATTCCAACAAAGCAGATGGTGGCAAGGCCCTTGCTGAAACTGAAGGTAAAATGGAGGCCTTGACAATGCAGGGTCATTAAACGGGAAAAAAGTGGCCTCGACAGAGGACAGATGATGGGAGACCCGACTATGCATTCTTACCTCCCTCCATGTCGGCACCCGATCATGATGGTGAGAGGAAATTCCTCATAATAAAACAGAGGCCAGAAATGCCTCGTGATGTATTGTGATTATAGAGTACCCATAGAAACTGGAATTTTTATAACCAGCAAACGGTAAGAAAAATTGTAGTTGAAAGTGACTAGTATCTTAGCTACTCCAGGCTCATTAAGAACAATTATTTTTGGAAAACTAAGGTGAAAAAATAATTATTTATAAGAATGGAGTTGCTAATGAGCAAGATGTATCCACAGCAGTGTCAGTGATTGTTTTCACTGAGGAGTAAATTCTTCATTAACAAGTTTTAATCTTGCCAGAGACCTATAAATGTTTCCTTTCCTCAAGTGAAAGTTTGGCACATGATCACAACTGAGCAGTGCTTAAATAGAAGCTACACGACAGAGACACCCTGTAACACTTACTGGCACTGAGTGGTACTGAAGAGACTATATATGTTTAAACTGAGGATGAATAACAAGCACATGAGGATGGATAAAGAACAGTTGCCAGTGTGAGTTCATGGCGTAACGTTTTGGATGCAGTTTGCAAGTGTGGGAGTGTCTTTTCAGCTGAAGTTTGTTCTTTTCAGACTGACACTGCTAACTTTTACTGTTGGTGACATGTCTCCTCATATCTTCTGGGATGCTTTCAACATTTCCCATTCCCTCTTGTGAAGCGCTGTTGGGAGTTATTTTCATCCTGTGTAGTCCACTAGTTCTTGATGCTGTAAGTTCTTTTTGGTCAGAGCGGGGCTGTTCTTCAAGGCTCCTTGGTCTACCTTTGGCTTGCTGTTTTTTTTCCCAAGCAAGTCGCTTAACCATTTGGTGCCTCTGCTACCCCATCTACATCTGTATGAGGATAATAATACTCGCTTGTCTCACAGGAGAGCAGTGAGGTTTGCTTGTTTGCTAGAGGCCCTTAGGAGAAAAGTCATTCAGAAAGTAAAGTATTATTACTCCACTGTGTTCTAGGTTCCTGAAAAAATCCTTTCACCACCAACAGTTTCTAGACTATGTCTTAATACATTTAAGTGCTGGTCTAGCTTTTTCTTTTCCTGAAAGAGGGCAACAGGACTCTTCCATTGCAGTAGCTGTTTCATTAAGATGTGAGTGGAAGCTCCTGTATTCTGTCATGTGCTATTTGGCTGATGGTAGCCACATCACATCTCTTGTTACGTGCATTACAACTATGTGTTCTGGGCTCTTGTGTGTTGCTAAGAGGAGGAGACACTGGTTGCCAGCAGAAACACCCTTCCCTGGCTTCTCTGTATGTGTGTGTGTGCGTGGTTAAACCTAGCTGTTGGTTTTACTTTCTGACTCTAAATGCTGAATGTAAATAAAAAGAGTAAATTCTAACACCAAGCTGTCAAAACTACATGCTTTAAAAGGAACATGAAGTCTGAGCTGCCCTTCTCAGAGCTGCACCATGTGTTGTTTCATAGTCTATTAATAAAAAGTAGTGAATTTGAATACCATCTGTGCCAACCATAAAGCTATTAAAGATGTTATTTTTATGTTCTAGCGTTGTGAATAAACGGCCTGAGAGTTGTTGTCGAAGATGTTTCCCTAACCTGGAGTTACTGTTTAGTGAGACTTGTTACTCTTGGGGTGGAGGAAAGGAGGTTGATTTGAAAGACAGCTGAAACACCGCTGTCAAAGAAAGTGGAGCTTTCTTTGATCAGAAGGGGAAAAAAAACACCGAGATGTCGGATGGAGTTAGATACTTCTGGAAAAGCCCTCTGGGTGGCACTGCTCCCCAGGCCTAGGGCTGCATTTCCAGCCCTCTGAAGGAGGGCTTGCAGAGGGCAAGTACAGATCAATAATTAGTCTTGCAAATAACTGTCTTTATTTTTGATTTGAAGGCTGAGGTTGATCCCTTCCTTTTCCAGTTTATACCCCGACAATTATTTAAGCACCTGTGAAACAAACTAACCACAGATTTTTGTGTTTGGAAATTTCATAACATGGGAAGTAATGCTTTGCTTTGCTTTGCTTTGTTTTGTTCTGTTTAAAAAAAAAAAAAAAAAAAAAGGTGAGGAGGAGTCGGGACACCCGTTCCTCTATCTAAGCTTGATTCAAATGTGTAAAGAGTTCCAGTGTTTGTTTGCCAAAGAAACACCATTTGTAAAAGTTGGCTAGAGCTCTCCATAGCAAATGTGGAATAAAAATGATTTGTTACCTAACTTATAAAGCTAGCACAATCTTGGAGCAGGCAGTTCTGAGCCTGAGTGGAGCCTCAAGTACAGCTTACTCTGCTCACAGCTTGCCAATAGCTGTTTTCGACTAACCTGGGGCACCAAGATGAGCTGCTGTTGTCTCGGTTCTTTCTGCTACAGAGCACAGAACAGTGAGACTGTTTTATGTTGGGCTTCTATTGGAACTGTTTTGCTTTATGGCTCACATTCCCTCTTGCTTTTCCTCTCTCAGGCATTTTGTGCTTATTTCCTGAATTGAAACTGAACACTAGCCAAGCTTAATGAAGTGATAAATGGTATAAACTGGAAGGTAAGAGCTCACAGGTTACTGTGTGACAAGGCAACGGTTTGTCCTGGGTTTGGTGCCCTTGAGGGCGAACTCTGCACAGTGGCACTTAAGGAGCAGACTGGTCACAAAATTGTGTGGTCCTGGTTCTGATCTCTGTATGTCAGTCTGTGTACATACTAAAGATGCTTAAGCATGCTAAAGATGTTTAAGGCTCTCTCAGCCCTTACCCAGCCTCCAGCATGAGACCGTGACAGAGCTGCGCGTGTCTCAGTTGTTCTGGAGAGCTATGCTGGAGTGCTGTGGGACAGCTCTTTTCTCCAGCCAGGTTGTAAAGGGTTGCGCAGGTGGTGGCGTGGGTGTTGTGACTGAACGGCAGTGCCTGCTGCAGTGGCTGATGTTGCAGTGTGACAAGGTGCTAAAGAGGAGAGGAGAACAGCCTAAGGTTCTGCTCCCTTGCTGTGCAGCTGTTTCTCTCACCCACCCCGCCGCTTCCAACAGGCTTTCTTTTTCTGACCACGTCGTGTGTGAGAGCTTTGCTTTGCTCCTCGTGTTGCTTGCCGAGCCTCCCTAATGTATGTGTGGCGGGCAGTGCCTATGACGCTTTCTGTTCCTCCTGTGCCCTTGGCACATACTTTGATTCAGAGCAAGTTAACTGGCTGTCCTTGGCTACTTGGCGCCTGCCCGCGAGGGTGCCGAAGCCGGCGGTGTTTGTGATGGTGGACACCTGTCCAGGGAGAGCAGGGCTAAGACCACCCACTCGTTTCACAGAGGTCACCCCAGCAGATGGTAACTTTTGGCCACTGGAGTGGAGCCAACAAGCTTGAGATAAAAGGCTCCCTGGCCTTTTAATGAACCACTCCCCTCTCAGGCACCTCAGCCCCCTGCAATACAAGCTTTATTTACATCTATTAAAAGCATTTGGCTGGTTTATTGAAGCAGCAATACTCTTACTCCCTTCTCGTAGGGGCAGTGTCACTGTCAATATTTGCCTTGGAGGAATACGTCCAGCAGACGAAGGCTTGTTTTGTGGCCAGATGGACTCCTCCTCCCTTGTGACTTTACATGCTTTGCTTCTGGCAAAGAATCTGGCTAATGATGCAAACCCTATCACTTCATAGTGCCGCATTCTGCAAAGTCATGGCCGTGTATTTCCTAGAAGACCCATCAATTAACACTTATTTCCATGTTCCTTCCAGTGCACACAATAACCGTGGGAGTGGGATTAACTAGACAGCCCCAGTGGTCCTCTCTGACTTGGGACAGTGGAACCAGGTTCCTGGCAGGCCAGGAGGTGCGAGCTGACCATTTTGTAGAGCCGCGTGCACCCTGGGCGGGACTGCAGAGCGAAGCTTCATATATGTGAAGGAGAAACTTTGCTGGGGATTTGGGGAACATGTGTGGGTAGACTTGGCTGCCTCTAAAAGGAATAAAAATGTAGATTATTCTAGACAGAGGTAACGTGCTGCCGCTACTCCTTTCATGGCTCTTGGTGAGATGGACCTCTGTCTGAGGCCATCCTTGGGGAAGCATCAGTGCTGAAGCAGCAGCCTCCTCTTGTTAGAGGCACTTTATAAATTTGCTGAGCTTTGCAGGCTTCGGTTACCCTGTTAGGTAAGAATCCAGGCACCGTTCACTTCCCTTCTTCCACAAAGCCAGGCTTGATTTATTTTTTATCAGATAATATCTTTTGTGTTGCGAAGTATCTGGATTCAAGCTTGACCTCCCTGCCAAACTGTAAAATAAAATCAATATGTGATTAATACAGCAGATGTGCAGGGAAGCTGTTGGTGCTGAGTCCGTCCAACTCTGAGAGGGGGGAGCAGCTGTGCAAGGAGCAGGGGAAGGCTTGGAGAGACATGAAAGCTGTCTGTTCCCTGTTAACACGGAGTTAGATGGAATACCCAGGCTTGATTCAGAGGATCAGACAGCACCCTGCCCTGTGAGGGTAGGAAGGATGGAGCAGCACACCGGGTGCGAGGCTTATACTTGGGGACGTGTGTTTCTGGCTCAGCCCCAGACTGCTGTTGTGCGTGAAGGTAAGTAACTGCCTGGAGTAGTTGCAGCCGCAGAGGAGTGGTGTCAGGTTGCCTTTAGCACTTCCCAGTGCTGGGAATACTGTCCATGTAGGTCCTCAGCAGCATACGCTGTGGAGGGCTGCCTTGCTGCCTCTTGCTAGCCTGGTGGCTTACAGCAGCACCTTCCCTGCGCTGGGACTGTTTGCCTCTATTAAGGTGTGCTAATCTTTGAGTCCCAACGTAATCCTGCTTCAGAGCAAGCACCTGGTCCTGGCCCCAGAGCTGCCCCAGATGCACTTCTACGAGGCTTTGCTCCTGGAGACTCTGACTGAGATTAAGCAGTATGTGGCATCCCGTCTGGGGATGTTAAAGCGGGTTTATGCTTTGGAAAGTGGCCGTGATGATGTGATACCCCTCCTTTGGCAAGACTGGCAACTTCCCCTTAAACACCCATGTTGCTACCCTCTGGAGCACGACAGGAGCTTGTTTAGAAAGAAAGGGTGAGTTAGTGCACAGGTTATAAAGGATAGAATAACTTTGGGGGAGGAGGGCATCTATGTTGACATCTCTGGAGGAAAACGTAGTCGGGCTTCTTATCAATGTGATTGCTGCTCCATGGTGGCTAGAAGGACGAGCCCGTGGTTAAAGGAATCGAGGGATCTGGTTCAGTTCCCTGTTCTGCTATTGGCTTCGGCTGTGATCTTGGGCAAGTCACAGCCTCCTGGCTGAAGTTCACCCTCCAGCTATGGCATTGCTGAAGCTCACAGCACTCTGAACGTGTTTGGCCAGCTGCAGTGGTGAGGGCCATGGAGATGTGCAGGGAGGGAGCTCCCTGAGAGCCCTATGGGGGCTGGGCTGGGCTGGGAGGAAGAACCAGAGGAAGAGCCAGAGGTCTCCCGAGTTCATTGTTGCAACGGTTGGTTTGAACTCCCAGAGCCACAGGAACTGCACCTGCAGGTAAACATAATGTTCCCTCTCGTGACCAGTTTTTGACCTGCTCCCAACAGGGGGAATGCCTCAGGCAGGTGAAAGCCCTCAGCAGCCCACAAGGGGGACAGGAACAGCCTCAGTCTCATATCAGAGGGCCCTAGCCCATTGCAGACTTTCAAAGTGGAAGGCTTGTTTACTTCTTGGATATCGGGTTTCCTGCAGGAAGACCAGCAACTGCCAAGGTTTTTATTGGATCCCACTGAAAGGAATTTGGAGAGTCTTGTGCTTGTTGTCTTTTGCTGTGTCTGCAGTGGTTAAGGAGTATTTTTACCTTTGAATGGGAGCGAAGGGTGCAGGGATTTGGCATCTGTCACCGGCAGTTCCATAATGTTGTTGTAGTTTCAAATAGGTTACCTTGTTGTCTCCCTTGCAGGAGAGTCATTAGAAGGGATCAGGGCTGGTGTTTGTCTGGGAAAGCACTGAGAGCGCTTTGGAAATGGTTGAAAGAACCTGAACTCCGTAGGGCTCAAACCATGTGGGAAGTGTTGTTTGAGCTCCTCTCATCTTAGCAGCGATGGGTTGGGGTATTTCACATTTGTTATTGGTTGGAACAAGGTTTTGACTGTTCTTGGAGGTAATTTTATAGGAGATTGAAATTCTGAAGACCATGTACAGTGGCTTGATTGCTTCAATGTGTGTGGAGAAAACTACAGAGCTCTTATTTGCCCTTGGATGCTGCCAGCACTGACCAATATCCTCCAGGGCCTGAGGTCTGTGCCAAGTCCCATTCCTGTCTATGCATGAGGAACTCTTAATTTAATACTGGGGTTTCCTAGGGCCCCTTCTAACCGTGGTTATAGAATCACTACCCTTAGAAAGAGAAAGAAGAGGGGCACGAGTTGTGGTTTGGATCTGGGTCGGCATTGCACTTGGTAAGAACATGAGTGCAAGCAGTTTTCTGGCTCTCAGTACAGAGGAGAAATGAAACAGGTCATTAAGGCAATGAAGAATAATCAGTGGCTGAGAGTGGTCTTGAGCAGCGAGGCCACCCACAGTGGCCCATCCAGCTCCGGACAACGTGTGAGCCTTCGCAGTCTCGCTCGGCTTGAGCTCCCCTCGAGCAAATCGGTTGCGCAGCGTTGGGCCATTCTCTCAGTAAGAGCTGTTGAAATTGTGTGTCTTGTTTCCAATTCTTAGGCTGATGGGCACAGACGCTAGCAGTTGTGAAGGATGCCTCCTAGGTTTATTTCAAATACTAGAGTTCTTGGATACAAATATTTCTTAATATAGGGCTTGGTCTAGTGAAAGAATGTTGCTAAGCCCTGTGTGCAGCAGCATGTGCAGGATTGCATCCCTATTTGTCCATATTTGGTGCTGGGTTTGGTATACTGCGAGCGCCTGTTGCCTTTAAATCACTTCAGACAAGCAGTTTCCTCCCTCCATTGATAGAGGGACACCTTGAGAGCAGAGTGGTCTTCTGACTGTAGGTTTACCTTTTCTGAAGAAAGAAGGAAGAGCACCCTTGCTTTTATGGTGTTTTAAGTGGAGGCAAAACTTGACATTTTGTCTTTGGGAGGGAAAAAGGACCCCCTTCTTCCCATTTGTCAAAGCAAGTACTCTGCACACGGTCTCCGGGTCTCTCAGACCGGATACTGGGCATAAGTTGTTTCCTGTTGCTCTTCCAGTTTCAGTTGCAGGATCTGGGATCGGCATCCTGCAGCAAGGAGCACTGAAGAGTAATATCTGTAGTGGAAATTTTGCTCACTGAAAAGAGGGGGGGGAAAAAAAGAGAGAGGAATGTGTGGGTTCTCTCTGATTCTCAGTTTTACCGGAAAGTTGATACCAATCTAAGATAGCCGGGCATTGGCCTATGCTCTCCTAAAGATCCTGGATAAAAAGGCTGAAGTCTTTTCTATGATTTCCTACAAGCGGAAGCCCCTGTCCCCGTAGAGAAGGAGGAAGGCTGCTAGTCACTGTGCAGGCAGGTTTCCTATATTTGTGAAAACATGGGGTTCTGCACACTTGGAGCAGGAGGAGTGAACTGCCTGGACACCCCCTTTCTGCTTGGGCGGTCTCTGCTTGTGTGCAGCTTTAGAGTAACCTCCGACCGCTTTGTCCACCTTGTAAAGGGGCTGGTATGGGGGCTCGTTAGCGTTCTGGTGCTCCCAAAGCTACCCTGCAAGGGGCAGAGAGGCTGTGAAGGGCATGACTGGCTGCAGAGGAGTCCTTGCTCATCACTACCTGACTGGAGGTAGCGGGCGGCTGGACACGGACTGAGCGTGCATCCAGATCAGCTGGAAAACCGAGCCTGCTGGCTGGGCAAGCAGCTAATGAGCTATGCAGGAACCTTGACTGCTTACGCTCCCAAAACACAAACGCATGTGGAAGCGACTAGGGAGTGTGTGCTGATGAGTATCTCCTCTTTCCAACGCCCACGACCACAGCGAGATCTGTTTATTTAGAGAAAGGAGTAAATTTCTTTTTCCCTTCAGGAATTATTGATCCTGGAGAGAAACCACATTCCCAGAGCAGTCTCTTGTCTTCTTTCCGTGACCCTCTTCCCCTGCTCCCTGGCGCAGGGGTCCTGAAGACTTCATTGCGCACTTTTGATCCCTTTTGATTTGAAACTGCAGTGAGCCATGTCCACGGAGAAGATGAGCCCAGAGTGGAGAGGGTCGTGGGGGAACACAAGAGGCAGAGGGGATGTGGGAGGGGGGAAGCAGGAAGAACAATATTGAACTTAGCGTGAAAACCACTGAAGCAAACAGAAACTTAAAAGCAACAAGGGAAGAGTGTTAACTGCAGTGTGGAGGCCAAGGGGGAGCTGAGCAGAGCGACCATGAAGTGAACTGCGGCAGCTTGTGCGAGGCGGGTTTCTCTGTAGCACAGGGTGTCCTGCAGTCCCGGCAGGCGGAGGGGGGCGTAGAGGGGACCGTCAGCTCTGCTGTGGCCCAGCTGGCTACACGCACTTGTGACACAGCACCCTGTGCATCACATCTGGGTTGCCTACAGATGACCGGTGTGGACCACGTGCACCCAGGACTGCGTGGGGATCTAGGTCTGGACCATGCAGACCTCCAGATCCTAGTCTTCCACGTCTGTGCAGGGCTCCAGATCTGTATGGCACAGACCCACGCAGGCTCTAGCTGCCACCCTCCAGCGCTGTGCAGAGCTGTGGCTCTGGACTGCGTGGGGCTGCAGTCCCCCAAGGCTGGGCAAAGCTCCAGCTCTGTCCCAGGCAGAGCTCTGGCTCTGGGCTGTGCATGCTCCAGCTCTCCAGGACTACACAGAGCTCTGGCCTGTGCGGGCTCCGGCTCCAGCCCCCCCAGGAGCGTGCAGAGCTCTGGCTCTGTCCCAGGTGGAGCTCCGGCTCCAGCCCCCCAGGAGCGTGCGGAGCTCCGGCTCTGTCCCGGGCGGAGCTCCGGCTCCAGCCCCCCAAGGGCGCG